TCAGCCAGGGCTACAAAGAGAAAGCTTGTTTTATTAAATGTGGGGGTGGGGTGGGACACACAAGACTACAGTTGACACCTTGTCAACTTGAAACACTTTTTAAGACATAAGCTTTTCTTTCTTTCTTTTATTTAGTTCATTCTCAAGATCTCAGAATAATATCACAAATATAAAACATCTTACATCCATGGTCTTTACTTCTTCAAACACCTTAAAAGTTCAGCCTCTGTGAAGATCCCAAGTCTCTCAACTAAGGGCTTCCATAAGATAAATAAGCCAAACACTTTCTTACTCCAAGAGGGAGAAACCTGGGTACACTCACACTCTGAACAAAGTGAAACCATAATTGAACAGTGTGAATCAACCACACTGGAATTTACTCATGATATTCTCGGCTCCCCAAAAAGGGCTTGGACCACTTCTCCAGCTCTGCCCTCTGGGGCACTCACAGCTGTCTTCTAGACTTGGGCAGCGCCACTCTGCTGTTGCTCCTCTTGGTGGTCATCTCACGGTACTGGCATCTCCAAAATGCTGTGTGCTCATGCTGTAACCCTGCTTTACTTTCTCCAGATGCCTCCCCTGGGCTTTCTTCAGGGACTCCAGCCCTTCCACTCAGTGCCAACCTCAGCTGCTCTCAGTGTGCTGACTCTGAGGAAACACATCCCAGAAGATTTCTCGTCAGTGATGCTGCTCTCTTCTTAATCGCCACTGATTTCTTTGCTCCATGCCACCAGCATCAATTGTCCCCTTAAAGGAAAGGTTTCCTTTAGTGGCTGCGGTCTCTTACTAACCACAGCTGCTTCTTCAGCTTGAGCTGACCAGAACCACAGATCCTGCACACTAATGGTGCAGTAGAGTCTTTGCTTCCCTCTGAAATTTCCCAAGTCAGGCTCTGCTCTCAATATGCTCAGCTTCTAAGAACCTACAGAGCAGCCTACTGAGCTATCAACGTGCAATAGCATTTCTAGCCCAAAATCCAAAGACCTTCCACAGTCTTCCCCAAAACAACATGGTCAGGTTTGTTATAGCAATACCCCACTATCCTGGCATCATTTTTGTCTTAAGGTTTCTGTTGTTGTGATGATCATGACCAAAAGCAAGTTGGGGAGGAAAGAGTTTGTGTGGCATATACTTCTGCCTGCTGGTCTGTTATTGAAGGAAGTCAGGACAGGAACTCAGACAGGGCAAGAATCTGGAGATAGCGCTGATGTACAGGCCATGGAAGAGTGCTGCTTACTGTTTTGACCCTCATGACTGCCTCAGTCTGCTTTCTTATAGAACCCAGGGCCACCACCAGCCCAGGGATGGCACCACCCACAATGGGATGGGCCTTCTCCATCAATCACTAATTAAGAAAGCGCCTTACAGGTTTGCCTATAGAGGCATTTTCTCAATCGGATTTCCCTCATCTCAGATGACTCTAGACTGTGTCAAGTTGACATAAAATTAGACAGCACACAGAAGTTACTATGGTAACGCCTAGTAAGTAAGGAGTATGTGAAAGAAAGCTATGGAGAATGAGCTGATAAGTTGTAGTAATTAGGTCTAGATTTGAGAATTTAGGCCTGAGTTTATGATATTTTAAAAAGATTTGGGTAAGCCCAGTTCTTTTAGCTAGACTAGTGTAATTTCTAACTGTAGATACATTTGAATGATAGTGTTGGTGGTTTCTTGGTGGTGCTTATCATCTGTATTCATTATATTTTCAGCATTCTCTCATCCTGGAATCCATGTTGTTTTGTCGTTTACAGTTGCTTTTAAGGAAAGCTTTTTTATTAAAAGGGGGGGGGGGAGAAAGCCTTGATCTTTAAATAGTTGTAATCAACCTTTCCCACTGAAGTGAGTTGACTATATAAATTCCATTCCTTTGGCTATTCTAATACATGAAAATTAGGAATTTCCTCATAAAATATTAATAACTTCCTTTATGGATATAAGTCAGGTGTACAGCAGCTAACATATTGTTTAGATAAAACTTTTCAATACACTTGCTTTGTAACTTACTATAAAACACCTTATGTAAGGACTAGGTCAATTGAGAATTACATTCATTTCCGTATTGATGGCAGAAATCACAAACTACATTTATTATTTTGTTACATGTGTGTTAAAAAGACACAGTTGCTTTGGTCCAATGCAGATGCTTTTCTGTGCTCATTTATTAATTCAGTTGTATCCTTTTTCCTTTAGACTCACAATGAGCTCAGGTACTTACATTCTTGGGTTTCAACATTTCTAGCAGGAATTTCCTTTTTAAAGAATCAGATCCATCTTGATGTGAGGTCATAGGTCCGTTTCAGTGGCAAACACACAGATAGGCATGCCAGTCTGTCTGAGCTCTGTAGAACCCAGGCAGCTATATAATTTTATTGTGGCATTGTGCTCTGTGGTGCACGTGTGGTGGGTCAAAGCACAAAGCAAAGCTTGCCTTGCAGTATGGCAAGTTGTGGCACTTGCACACCCAGTGGTTTACAGGAAGCTTTTTCTTCAGCTGCCTAAGAGCAAAATCAGGACTGTCTTGCTGTGTTCCACGCAGATGGGCAAGGCTTTTCAAAAGAGAGGATGCTGAGCATGCCTGTCAAGCCCGTGGTCTCATCATGGGTGGGAAGATGTTGGCTGCCTCAAGAATGTGTGACTTAGTGAGAACTCTTATTTTAGATGATTACTGCTATTTCCCAATGGTTAGGTGTTTCCCCAATATGTGCATTGTTTGTAGTGCTGCCCTGTTAGTTCAGTTAGTGGCACATGAGGCTTTGTTGCCTTTTCCACCCGTATGAGGATTTTGGAAAAAGAATCCTGTGATGGGTCAGTGAAGTGTGTGTGTGTGTGTGGGGTGGGGCGGGGAATTCTGTTATCTAGTGCTGTCACTATCATGAGCACTTCACTGGAAATGACACACTGTCTTTCCCTCACTGTTAGGTTTCATTGATTGCTAAATCATCCTCTTAGCAGAAGATAAGATTAATTTTGGGTGTAATATTTACATTTTGTTAATTTTAAAAATTAAATTTCAAGATTTTAGAAAGTTGACTCCCATCTTCAGTTGCTCTGTGTATATTCAAGGGGCGTCTTCCACCGCCATGGTAGAACAGCATTTTCGCCAGTGCCAGCTGTTGCTCGGCCCCCTTAGTACTCCATGTCCCTGACTGCTGTGCCCTGGCCATCACTCAACCACTTTTACACAGAGAGGGAGCCATTACTATGAGACCTTTGGGCTTTTAAACCTTTGGGCTATGTTTTAAACATAGCATATTTTTTAAACATTTTAAATTACATTTGGATATTTGTGTGTGCACAAACAGTACTCGGGATTGCTTGTGGTGTAGGTTGTATGTGGGTGGAAATGAGAGACTGCCTGGGAGGTGGTTCTCTTCCACTTTCCGAACCCCGGAGATGGAGCTCAGGTTGTTAAGCCTTGTGGCAAGTGCCTTTGCTTGCTGGGACTATTTTACTTGTGAATGTTTGTGTTCGGGTGGTTTAAGCTGAATGCTTGTGGATGTCAGAGGACAACTTCAGATGCAGGTATTTTCAGTTTTCCTGCTTAAGAAAGAGGCATCGGACACTGTAGACAGACTAGTTGGTTGTTATCTTTTTAGACCTATGGTACTTTCCCAGTTAATTTTAAAATACAGTAAAGACTATCAAAATTTAATGGCATTATACTTTTGACAAAAATTTACTGGCCAGAGAAAGAAGTATGTAGGTCCTTAATCATTCGTGTGTATTAATGGGTCTTCTAGTTTTTGAGATGGCTGGCTTAGAACTCCTTATATGTATGAGTGTGAGCTCAGCCTCATGATGTTTCCTCATCTCCGGGTTACAGTGTGCACTGCCACACCTGCCCTCTGCTTGCAGAAGGTTTTATTATTATTATTGTTATTATTATTATTATTATTATTATTATTTTATTTTGCATTGTGAAATACTGCTGTGTGTGGTATTGTAAAATCTAACTTTTTCATTTTCCCCCATTTACAAAGCTCTGATCATAAATTTATGTATACCTTGTCTCTAGTGACCCTGATAAAACCATAGCAGTTGTCTTTAATGTCCAGGGATAATATATGTGTTTTTTTTTCCTTCACACTGTTGAACTTTACACATAAACACAAGCAGGTTTTAAGCAAATAAAGGCACTTTCTATCCCATACACTGTGTTTTCAGTTATATACAGAACCGACCTACCTTGTTACACTGAAGTTTTCACTTATTGTCTCATTTTAGCATTACATTTCCAGTATTTTACATTTATATACATTATATGCATTATAATATTATTTGTTCATTTGGAAGTCATTTTGATCCTGTCTAAAAAATTATTTATTTTTATTTTATTGGTGTTTTGACTGTATGTATGCTTGTGTGAGGGTGTTGGATCCTGGAGTTACAGACGGTTGTGAGCTTGTTCCTCTGAAAGAGCAGTTAGTGCTCTTAACCGAGCCATCTCTCCAGTCCTCATTTTAATCCTTTAATCAGATTTAGTAAATATTTCTTACAATGAACATGTTACTAATTTGATTACAAAATCATTATCTTCTTCATTGTGTTTATTCTACACCCTTCCCTGGCCTAGAACTCAGAGATCTTCCTGCCTCTGCCTCCTGAGTGCTGGGATTAAAGTCTTGGATCACCCTGCTAGGCCTAATGCTTCATTTTTAATAAATGAATTGCCCAGGTGGATTATTTGTCTTTTGTGTGTGTAACATTTGAATTTTTCTTTCATCCTGTTCCTCCTCCTCTCCTCCTTCTTCTTGTTCTTTGTTTTTTATTTTTTCAAGATAGGTTTTCTCTGTGTAGCTTTGGAGTCTGTATTGGAACTCACTCTGCAGACCAGGCTGGCCTCTAACTCAGAGAGATCCACCTGCCCTGCCTCCTGAGTGCTGGGATTAAAGGTGTGCACCACCACTGCCCAGCTTGAATGAATTTCTTCATGCCATGTGATAAGAAAGTGCTTGGTGTGCTGTCTTTTCTGCTTTCTTATAGTAGTGTTTGTTTTGTAGTACGACACCACCGTACTGCTGTGTGGATCTGTACTCACTCCGAACTGGGGAAATGGTGAAGTCCATTCAGTTCAAAACACCGATTTATGATCTTCATTGCAACAAACGGTAAGTATTTCTCATACTTATTCTCAAATTGTAATGTCCCTCCTTGACAGGCAGAACTCTACCAAGTTTCTGTTTTCAAGTCATTGAAAAAAATTTGAGTTCTTTCCAATGAAACAGTTGAAATTTCACATTGCATACTTTCCAGCCTCCTGTCCTATCTGTGAGTTGTGATTCAGTGTAGTGAGATATATGTGGAATTTAGGTTAGAAAATGGAGGGGTACAGGCAGTGTCCGTGAGACTACAGGAATGTTGGAGTGGTGTGCATCTTTCTTTTAGTGCTGAGCATTAAACTGGGTTGTTGCATATGTTGCCAGGCAACATCTGACCATTAAATTTCAACTTGAGCCTTTGAGTATTGTTTTGGAATAATACTTGGTTGGGGGACTTTACTGGCCTGCCCCCACCCTCTAATTTTACATTATTTTGATGGAAAGTCTCATTACCCAGGCTGGTTTTGATCTTGTTATCCTCCTGGTTCAGCCTCCTCAGTGGTGGGATTTTAGGCATGTACCACCATAGCTAGCCTCCAATGTTTCAGTAGGTTTTTATTCCTTCACATTTCACAACATAGTTAAAAACAGGGATTAGATCCATTTTCGTTCTTTAAAATCATGGGAAGATATTGAAATGTAGATTAAGCTACCTGAATTGTAGTGGTGGTGACATATTAACCATAGGCTCTTAGAGAAGAATGAATCTTGGGAATTTAGTCTGTGTATTACTTTGCTTTCACAGGAAAGAAAACTGAATCTGTAGGATGATAAATATCTTGAGTCTTGGGTACAAGGTGTAAATCTTCTGCTCAAGAGCAAACACCCGAGGCAGGGAAGTGGCTCAGTAAGCAAAAGCCCCTGCTGTTCAAGCATCAAATTCCCAGAACCCAGGGAGGAGCTAGAGGTGTCCGTCACCCCAGGACTCCTAAGGCAAGGTGGGAGGCAGAATGGGAAGATCTTAGAAACTCAGGGGCCAACTAGCCTGGCACACGTGGCGCCTCTAATGAAGTGGAATGTGAGGAAGTACATCTGAGTTTGCCTTCTGACCTTCACAGGCACCCAGATGCATGTTGTGACATGTGCATGCCAGCCCTCAGTCACACAAATGAATACGAGTAAATACACCACACATACACATTACATTTAAAAGGGCAATGTGTGAGACCCGAGAAATTATTCCTTCATATGTGAGAACCCTTAAATTTAATCCTGAGCACAGTGCAAATTATGTGTGGACTTGGTCCTAGCGGATATATTCAAATTCAAGGACAAAACCCTGCAAGTTGTAAGAAGTAGAGGAAACACTCAGTGAACCAGTGCCAGTAGAATACATTCACCCCACTTCATAGAAAACTCTGTGTGGAAAGATTTGCATCAGGGGGTAATATAGTTTGCCCAGAAAAATGCCCATCCTAGACCAAGTAGATTTATCAAAAAGCAACATTAGCACATTTTAGATAGAAGACCTTCAGATTACATTTCCTTTACATTATAATAATTCATACAGATCCACACAAAGGAACAAAAAAAAAAAAAAAAAAAAAACTCTGCCTCTTTTTTGTTTAAATAGTTTGCTGAGCTTAAGTTAGAGAGCAAATCATAGTTAGCAACTTTATATCATTTAAAAATTAATGACAAAATATGTGTGTGGCCATATTCAAGAGCTTCGTAGCTCTGGTTACCCCAAGACATAGACGTGTGCCATATCTGGATCAGCCTTTCTTCAGGAAGCACACGGATCAGTAAAAGCAAGGCACAGAATTGTCATAGCTGCAGCACTTAGATTCAGGAGCGAAGTTTGAAACCGTAGATGGCACATTTGAGGTCAGCAGCAAGTGTTCACCAGCCCTTCTAAGAAGTGATTGACAGTCACATGGCAGGAAAATAGGCATGGTTTCCATTTGAGAAAACCAGAGTTTACCAGAGAGGATGCACAGAGTGTAGGTTATGGATGAAGGGATCCCAGGGGCTGTCGATGTGTGCAGTAATCTGAACACAATCTCCCTTGTTAGTGCAGCGGGGAGTCTTCTGGGTGGGTGAGAGCAAAGCACCACTGAAACAGGGTGGCAGCAGCGACTCAGAGGGTCAGCATCCAAAGTCCTGGTCATTCTGGGTTGGTTCCACCAAGGGCTCTGGACCTGTTGAGGGTGAACTAGATAGCTCCATCTACAAACTTGCGATAGTTACTGTACATGTGGGGGGTTTATTCAGAGATTTCTATGAATGCCCTGTCCTCTCCACCTGAATTTGCTAATGAGGCATGGGGGAGGAAGCGTAGACACTGTTTTTCTGTGAACTTATTTCAGTAATTGGATAATTTAAACAAAGCAACCATTGTCACTTAAAAACTTTCTTAGATGCTTTTATACATTTCCTTTTCTGTCATTAGAATTTAATCCCCCACCTTGAGTGTAAGGGTTATCATGTACATCAGATGACTAGAGCAGCGGGAGTGGCAGTCAGCAGTCCATAGACCAGAACCCTTTCTTGGGTTACTTTTTACTTGCCTTACTTGGGTTAGCATGGGGATCAGAGAAAGGTGATGTAACAGCAGAGGAGGTGGTAAAGATCAGATGCTGGGTGTGGCACCCAGAAACTCAGAAACTCAGATGGCTGAGATAATGGAAGATGCAGCAAGCAGCAATGGGAAGCAAGGAAAGAAGTCTTCTCCTGTTTAAAACATCTCACAGTGTGAAAGGGAGCCGAGACCAGGCATGCCAGTCCTGTTAGTAAATACAAGTAAACCTAAGCCACATATGGTGAAAGTTTCAAATGTGGTCAAGGGTTTGTCATCTTGACATGGAAAGATGTTGATAATGGGAAGCACCAAGCACATATTAATGGCTGAAGTAGGTAAAATCTCAATGGAGATTTTACTTCATATTAGTCAGTAGAAATTATGCAGTTTGCTGGATATGGTGGCATATATGTGTACTTCCAGAACTTGAGAGATGGAAACAGGGGGATTAGGAGTTCAAGGACATCCTCAGCTAACTAGCCAGCTTGAGACCAGTCTGTGACACAGCATCATAAAACCAAAAGAGAGGAAGGAATTAAACAGTTTGAAAAATAGATATTAACATAAGTTACTAGAGCCCTTATAAATGGAAGAATATAAAAATTTTTAGCAGGAAACCAGTTATATTTACAAATGCAGATCCCATGGAAAAAACTCTTTTCAGGCTATCCTAACAGAGTAAAAACTGCAGTCAGCGAGAACGTGATTGAAGGCATCTCCAGGAACAGCCTGATCTAGTACTGGGACAGTGGTGGGCTGTGTATTTCAGCAGTGTGAGTCTCTGCATCCTGTCCTTGTTGTCCCATTTCACTTCTGATTCATCCTTTTCTTTTTTGAGACAATGAGGTTTAACTTTGTAGCCCAAGCTGGCCTTGAACTTGTGCCAGATTCTAGGCTCCCCCCCCCCCAGGCTTGGCTTCCCACTCTCTGGAGAATGAACTGTGTTCCTCTTTCATTGTATCTGTACTTGTACATGTTTGGCAGATTCCTTGGTTTAATAAACTCTCATTGTCTTTATCAGTACACTTATTACTCTTTTTCGGTGCTTGGGATCCAATGCATGGCCTCCAGATGCTAGACCTTTAGGGTCCAGGCAAGGCTTGAACATCCTGTTATCCTATGTCTGCCTCCTGATGACCTGAGATTGTAAGTCTGCATTGTGGTCCTATCTGCCATCCACATCTTTTCATGCTGATTGTACATCGGCTTCCTCGACTCAGATTCTGAAAGTAGAAACTCTTTCCTCCTTCATTGAACGCTGCTCCCTGCTCTAGTTAACTTACTTAGTTCTCATAAACCGATGTCTCTTGGGTCAGTTTTCCCATCGTACCTCACTGAGTCAGTCTTCAAAGTCATTTGCCAGGTGTTTGTTTTGCCCACTTCTCCTTTCATATCGCACATAGAATTTGATTATTTTTGACCGCCTGTTCTAACCCATTGTCTTGTATATGCAGTTTCATTGTCTGCTTTCCACCAAGTAGACCCACTTCTGTTATAGTGCCAGATTGTATCCCCTGAGTTTAAGTTTGACCACGCCACCTTTCTGCACTAAATTCCCCAGTGGCTTCCTGCCTGTGGCTGGAGGTAAAAGTATCACATGCCTTTTCTGTTCCCTCCTCACTGACTTTGTCTCCTAAGAGGTTTCTTCCTTGCTACGTATTGTACTGTTACTTGCAGATTCAAGAGTTTTCTAGCCTGAGCTGTACACACATTGGAGATTTAATTTATGATCAGGTGCTTTTCCCTAACTGTAGGAAGAAAAGAGATTCTCACAGATTTGTGAGTGGTGAGACTCACATAGATCAATCATTTGTCACATTAGAGCCACAGGTCCTTATTCCTTAGGGACTCTGTGAGGGTGGGCTGGCTGCCTTACATTCTTCATATTAATAGTTTAGCATTGTTTTTACTTGAAATCAGTAACATGGGAAAATTTTCAAATATCTAGTTATATCAGAACCCATTATACTTTTAGGAAGTTGAGTTATTTTTAGAGACATGAGGATCCAGCATTGGAAGGCTGAGGCAGGGCACCTAATGTTTAAAACCAACCAAGGATACATATAGAGAAAGCATCCCCTTTCCATCCAAAGAAGCTCTGGATTTTAGTGGCTGTAGATAGCACCAAAAAAAAAAAAAAAAAAAAAGAAAAAAAGAAAAGAAAAGAAATCAAGAACTTTTTACTAGGTGTGAAGGTTCATGATTTCACTTATTGTTTAGTCACTATTTGATCAAAATCGAGTGTGTATCTGTACAGTAATTTCTAATGTCTGACAGGGGAAAAAGAAGACAAAAGAGCAATGTAATAGAGCTAAATTTGGACCAGATACCCAAGCTATTTAGGCTTCAAAGTTCTTTATGGTATTAAAAAACAAAACAAAAAACAAACAAAACCCCAAATTAGTTAGCATTATATCCATGGATATCAAATTTTACTAGTATGAGTTTTGGTAACTAATGTCTTTGATGACACTTGGGTTGCTCTGTTTGTTGCTGTCGCTGTCGGTAGCATTTGTATTTGGTCTCTGTGATGACTGTGGGTGTCTAGTGGGGAAAGGTGGGATTCCTCTTTTCAGTCATCATTCTAGCCAATTTTATTTTTATTTTTATTTTATTTTTATTTTTCTTTTTGGTGGAATATGTGACACAGATTGCTGTTTAATTTGTGTTTGTAGACAGGGTCTTCCTATGTAGTACAGGCTGTGCTCAAACTCCCCTGACAGCCTTCCATCTGTTGGGATTACAGGCCTCCTTTCCCCTCTTCCTACTGTGTGTGTGTGTGTGTGTGTGTGAGAGAGAGAGAGAGAGAGAGAGAGAGAGAGAAAGAGAGAGAGAGAGAGATTACAGGTCTCCTTTCCTCTCTTCCTAGTGTGTGTGTGTGTGTGTGTGATTACAGGCCTCCTTTCCCCTCTTCCTAGTGTGTGTGTGTGTGTGTGTGTGTGTGTGTGTGAGAGAGAGAGAGAGAGAGAGAGAGAGAGAGATTACAGGTCTCCTTTCCTCTCTTCCTAGTGTGTGTGTGTGTGTGATTACAGGCTTCCTTTCCCCTCTTCCTAGTGTGTGTGTGTGTGTGTGTGTGTGTGAGAGAGAGAGAGAGATAGATAGATAGATAGATAGATAGATAGATAGATAGATAGAGATATTACAGGTCTCCTTTCCTCTCTTCCTTGTGTGTGTGTGTGTGTGTGTGTGTGTGTGTGTGTGTGTGTGTGTGTGTGAGATTGGATGATTACAGGCCTCCTTACCCCTCTTCCTATTTTGTGGTGTGTGTGTGTGTTGTGTGTTTTAAGTAAGGGTGTGGAGCCCTAAAGTTGAGGGCAGGAATCATCCACCAACACCCAGCGCTCTATTCTGACTAGTCTCTCTCAGTAACCAGCTTCCCCTGGGCATCTCGTTTTCTATGAAGGTGGGAATATTCATGTGGGTTCTTGATCTGAACTCAGGCTCTTATGCTTTTGCAGCAAGTACTCTGAGTGCCAAGCTAGAAGCCTCCCACCCCTGTCTACTTCTTCTTCTTTTTTTTTTTTTTTTTTTTCATTTCAGTGCTCATTAGCTCATTTTGAGTTTCTGTTTGTTATTGACTCATATACCTGTATGGTTATGTTTATGTTTTCTTACTCTGTTGCTATTTTATGCAGTGTCTTTTTGTGACTAGTACTGTAGTAACTTGTATGCTGTTAGTGTTTATTTTTCTTTTGGTTACTGTTTGTGTTCTGTGTTTTTTTCTATTTTACAGTTTTAAGGAACTTTTTTCAAAAGGCTAAATGCATTTATTTGTGTTTTTATATATATGTTTATTTTAACTTGAGCATATTGTAGTTTCTGTCTTGATTTTTATAGTTTTTAAAAGTTAACACCCAAGCCCTGAAACCCTCACACACAGAATTTAGAACTCTTTGTTTGGTTCTGGTTATCATGTCTGTCTGTCTGTCTGTCTTTGTGTGCATATTGTTTCTGATATTCTTCAGCTAGGATCTAATATATGTAGCTTGGGATTGTCTCAAGATATTGCTCCTTCTGAGTATCTGGGATCACAGGAATGTTTCTCAGTCCCTGGGGAAGCTTCAACTGACTATCAACAATATTTCCTTTTTTCCCTGTGCTCCATTATTTACATTTTTAAATGATGGATATTATGTGTAAGGGAACATTGATTGGAGATGTTGATAACTTTCTGTAAAGATTCTGGAAGTATAAGGAATTGAAGGATGTGAGATGGTTTGAGTTAGGACTGAAATGAAATTTGCTGTTGAGTGTAAAGTTTTGTGTTGTGGAGACACTGTCTCTGCCTCTTATATGCAAAGTGCACATAGAGCATTCAACAAATTGTTTACTTAGTAACAGCAAAAAGTACATCCATGGACAGAGTGGAGTACAATAGCAATAGTTTAATAGAAGTGATAACAGTATTTTGAATTCTTCTGCATCAGCAAGTGGAAGTTTTATACATTTCAAGACTTGTTCACTGTAGGATGTGTTTTACGTAATAAATCTTACTATTTTTTCCCACCAGTTTTTAGCATGTGTTAATTAGATTTACCTGTGAAAATTAAAAAAAAAACATGAATTATCTAGTAATAAGAATGATGTTTTATTGAAATTATCATTAAGTGGGGATTTGTTTTTCTACAAGAAATAGTCAACTCTGATTCAATATTTGGGCTGTATTATAGGAATTTCACTTTATAACATTAAAACCATAGCTTAATTATACATTCTTTATATTCTAAATTATTCCTCTGGTTATTTGTAAATTTTGTTCTCTAAAATTACTGTTTATACTAAATGGCAAATGTCTCAGATTTTGTTGGGTATGCTGAGAAATTCTGCAGTCTTTTTAAGCAATAATTACACAAAGCCACTTATATCTAATTTTGCCTTTCAATATCATTGAACACTACATCTAGTAAGTAGCAAACTAGTTAATATTATCCATTCTAAATGTAGTCTGTTTAATTTAAGAATATGAAAATGAAACTGTTCAGAGACCATTTACTGCTTTTGAGTTTGTTACTTTGTTTATATGAACATTTTCATTGTTTTTATTCTCAAATTTTTGGAGTCAGATATTCCTACCCTGTGTATCAGAAATGTTTTGTTTTAAAAGTATTATTTTAATTATTTATGATTGAATTCATAGAATTTCTCACTCATGTTTCCATTCTGGTTTTCCCCCTCTAATTTTAGGATCCTGGTCGTAGTCTTGCAGGAGAAAATCGCTGCCTTTGATAGCTGTACTTTCACAAAAAAATTTTTTGTCACAAGTATGTACCAAATCATTTTACTTCCTGTCGTGTGCGTTTGTGTTTCTGTTGCTGACTGGATCCTGTCAGCAGTGGGTTTTAGCCATGGTCTCTGCCCATTACTCAGTAGCTTCTAATCTTAGGAAGGAATTTTACCATGCCAAAGCACTAACCTCGTATTTCTGTATATAGCATAAGATTTTCCTTATATACTCAAATTGAGTGCCTCTCACTGTTTCCTGTCACCATTTTATGGGGTTGTTATCAAGTCAGTTAGCATGTCATAAGCACTTAGAGAAGTGATTGGATTGTTCTCTCTGAAGGACTTTAAATTTGGAGGACTATTTACCGGTTCCTTTGCCTTACCTCCACAACATTCACCAGGAGCTCAGCAGTTAGTCCAGAACCTAGCTCCAACCCATGTTCAAACACAAATTCAGTGCTAGGCTTTAAAGAAAGGCAGAGGATTGAGATAGGAAGGGATGTGAGGGGTGAGTTAATTAATTTTAAGGAGCTGGAATGTGCAGGTCTGCCATGCCAAGTTGTACAGGACAGAGGCAGTCTGGAAATGCCAGCAGGCTCCAGTTAGCTGTTCAAAATGCTAGTCAATCTGGGGCACAGAAGTTTTTTAATTTTATTTTTCCCCCTGTGGTCCTGTAAAATATTAGCATCCCCCCCCCAATTTGTTCTCATATCCCTCACCAAAGAGTCTGAAATAGCTTAATGTTTCTCCATTTTGAAATGAATTTAAAATACTATATGAACTTACACTGATGTTTACTGAGTAGCTACCACATGTCAAACCTCAAGTAGTCATATATGTAGATGTTACTCCTTTCCTATAAGGGCAAGTTCTTTGTTATAACTGCATTATATAGTACAGACAATTACATACGTCCTATACTGCATGATACTCTCTCTCTCTCTCTCTATATATATATATATGTATATATATGTATATATATATATGATATAATATTTTTATATATATAGTACATGTTTCACATTTTGTGGACCAAGAAGAATTGTAAGACTAGCCCATCCCTTCACGCCCTTAATGGTTTTCTGAGTTAGGCAGCAGAAGCCTGTGTGTTTCTGTGTGCTGCAGTGAGGTAGTTAGAACACAGTGGGATATCTCAGTCACATCCAGGTGTCAGCTTTTCCTATAGATGTGCCATTCCATTTTAGCAGTAACTTTTTTTGTTGTTGTTTTTTTTAATTCTGCAGTGTTAAGTGTCTCTGTTGTAACCCCATATAACTTTATTCTGGAGCATATATTCCTTGGTAGTTCTCTGTCAGTTTAGTAGCTCAGAATATTCAAATGGGGTATTGGTTTTCTTTTAAAGATTTATTTGTTCTTAAAATTTTATGTGTATGTGTGTAGGCACACTCTGATGCAAGGAGAGGTCTTGGTGGCCTGGAACTGGAGTTACAGGCACTTAGGAGCCACCTGGCATGGGGGGTGGGAGCCAAAGCTGCTTCCTCCTAAGGAACAGTAAATATGAGCCATCCCTTGAGCCCCCATTGTTGTTTTTTTGTACTGGCTGTCCTAGAACTCTGTATAGACCAGGATGGCCTAACTCACAGAGATCTGCCTGGCTCTGCCTCCCGAGCACTGGGATTAAAGGTGTGTGCCACCACCGCCTGGCTCCCCCATTGCTTTTAAAAATTATTTTTTTTATTAGTTTGTGTCTTGTGGATACACACGCTATGGCACATGTATGTTGGTCAGAGAACAACTTTCAGGAGTTTCTTCTCTCCTATCTTTCTCTGGGCTTTAGAGTCACAACTAGGGTCTTCAGGCTGGTGTGGTGTGCACTTTCTCATGGAGCCATCTTAGTGGTCTCATCATTTGATGGGAGGAGTTTATTTAAGTGTAAATTATATTTTGAAATTTTATCTCAAAGAAATTTTTTGTCATAGTTGTTAATTTTTCTTAGTAGTTGTAAATGACAGAATAGAATATATTAACAGTAAAAAATGAGCAGTTAATACCTGTGTTAATAATTGACATATGTATCTTTTTGAGACTATTATCTTATACCTTAAATATCTATTTATATCATTCTACAATATTATTATTGGTTGACAATTTTATACAGTGTGTTTTGAGCGTATTCACACTCTTCCCCCAGTTCCTCAAAGTCCACCCCCACCTCCCCGTCTACCCATGTCTCCCTCCCCACCCCCACACCCACCCTTACTACCCCACCCACTCCTATCTCCCCTCCCACTCTACCTTCCTATTGACCCCTAGCTCTCCTCCAGTTCCTCCCCACCCACCTCTACCTCCCCACCCTCTTCCCTCCCTTCCTGCCTACCCCTATCTCCCTATCTACCTGACTTCCTGTCCTCTTTTTTTTTTTTAATTTTCTTTTAGAGTTTGTGCTCTAGATGTGTTTGATAGCTCTAGCAACACATACAAAAATAAATTTGTATATTATTTAAATTTGTATATTAGCCTTACTGTTTGATTTAAAGGATATAGACTTGTAATTATTTTATAGCATTGGAATTAAAATTTCACATTTTTATTCTTTCTGAAAAATACAAACTATTATTCCTGGTTAGGTAATAGCAGTTTGGATGCACTGATAAAGCTAGAGTTGGTGACTTGCACATTAGACTTCAGAGAATTTCTTTGTATTGATATTAGAGCTTCTCTCTCCCTGGCCTCCCCCCCCCATTGTCTTCTGTCTTATCCTGGCCCCTCCCTTTCAACAGTTCTTCCCACTTTGTAGTACAGCCCATGATGATATTAAAGTTGCCATTCTTTTGCCACACTCTGAATGCTGGGGTAATGTCTCTGTCTCTCCACCATGTGTGTCCGTCTCTGTGGAGCATCATTAATGTATATTCCTAAGTATTAAACCATGAGCTTTTGAACCCACTGAGTAGCTGAAGAAAGTTGTCCTCCAGTATTAGTTTCTCTTGTACTATGTGAGTTGTTCATGAGAGGAGACAGTTCAGCAATTGTCACCAGGGCTTCTGCCTTTGTAAATGGTGTACCACTGATAGCTAAGCCGTTATTGACTTGTATTCTATCACAAAAGGGTTCTCACATACTCCTTCAGGGAATTTGTGCATCGACTCTCATGGATTGCGGATGCCTTAAAACATGTATTAGTAGAGGTTGCAAAAGACCCAAAATATAATGGCATGTTTTGATTCTTACTTGATAGCTGTGCTGAAGGGTGAGGCTGGAGGATTGCAAGTCAAGTCATGTGTGGGCAACTTTTTAAAACAGAAGGTGACAGGAAGGGTGTTAATGTATGTATTGGGGTACTTGTTTAGTGTGTATGAGGCTCTGGCTCAATACCCAATATTGAAAACAAGTAAAAAAATTCAAACCCAACCAACCAACCAACCCACCCCATCAAGAGTGTAGAAAGTTACAACAAAAACTGATTTCTTGCTTCCTACTGTGATTAATGACTTTTGTCGTTTTTTGCTGCAGTGTTATGGTCCGTTATTAATAAGTGCTACTTTGTCCTAGTGACAGGTCTCATTTCATACTCCACTAGGAAGTGCCATTCACAGTCCTGGTCATTTAATTTGTGAACTCCAGGGGTTGAGTTTGTTCAAGTGATTTGAAGTTGGAAAGATTGATGGTATTCATCACAACTTCACTCAAGTGATTTAAGTCATGATCTCTGGCCTAGTGGCTTCCACCTGAATTTGTAGCACCTTGATACTGAAACAAGATGGCTGCTGTGCATTTGAAGCCTGGGCTACACTGCGTTCCCAGGACAGCCTTAGCTGTAGAGAGTGATTCTATCACAAACAAAGCGAACATAACAAGACTTAAAATACCACCACCACCAATAAAGAACATTTCAAACCAAATTTGGTGTGATGCAATTCTTAATCAAGTGGCAAATGCTGCCACTCCATAGTTTTAATGAAGGTTAATTTTCTCCAATTTCTGCACCATTCCCAATCCTCCAGCTAATTTTTTTAACTGTATTCAAAGTTGATATAGATCTCATGTGGAGCGTGTGTGTGTGTGTGTGTGTGTGTGTGTGTGTGTTTGTGTTTGGATTTTCACTGATATAGAGGCTGACTAAGGAGTTGGGAGACTGGCACTCTACGATGTCTTTAGTGGCAGCTCATTTGCCTGTAGCATGTGTCTTGTCTGTGTTTATTCACACCCAATGGGGTTGTTTGTTTGGTAGTCAGAGTTTAATGTAGCCCAGGCTGGCCTCATGCTGTAGCTCAGGATGATACTGAATTCCTTATCCACCTGCTGCCATCTCTGGAGTGCTAGGATTATAGGCCTGTCGTGCTGGGTTTCTGCAGTGCTGATTGAGTCTACAGTTTGGCACAGCCTAAGTAAACTCTTTACCAACTCAGCTGCATCTCCAGCTTGGTACCCTTGGCCTATGTAGAATCACAAGATCTCCACTTAATGAGGATGTCCTTTTGATCATGCAGACATTTAACTTCTGAAGTAGAATGGGAAGCTCTTGCATAATGCATTCTTAGCTGAAGGCCTTGTATGAATACAATGAAAGTATTGTAAAGTGAGTAGAGTCTGCTGTGCCCATCAGAGCAGGCATCATGGGGATTTGTGCCAAAGAGTGGATGGAGCAGGTAAAGGGAGCTGATAGAGAACTGTTAACGGAGTGCATCCAATAGGACGAGAAAGGAGACACCTTTGTGTTTGGATGTACAGAAAAGTTGGTCTTGAGCAGCTGTCCGATGTGGAAACTCAAAACCCAGGTATGAGTAGGAAGACAAAAGACAAAGACTGATAGATGTCATTAGCAGTCATTTTAAGGATCCTTTGAAGTTGAAAGGCAGATATGGAGTCTCTAGAGAGACCGGAGTGTCTGATAAACAAGCACTGTGCATCTGCCTGGGTTTCAGTTTGAGAAGGAAAGTTATTGGTGCAGCCCTAATGTTATTAGTGTTAGAATGTCTGTTCTTTGTTTATGTTAATGATGAGCAACACATGGAACACATGGAAATGAGTTTAAAGTAGCTTTAAAATGCAAAGTTAAAAATTTGGGGAAGAACAGCTTTCCTTGCTTCCCCCACCCCCATTTTGGGAAAGCAATGCTTTGGTGTTTATCCGGGCTGGTTTGGAACCACCACTCCCACATGTTTGTAATATACAGCAGAGAGGATTGGTGGTCGTCTCATCTAGGTCAGTTTGAGTGTTAAATTTACCTCCGTGGCTTTGGATTTTTCACAAGGGCTGCTCTGGTGTCTCCTGGCCCTGGGCAGAAAAATCAGCAAGTATGTACATGTGCAGTGAACTAAACTGACTTTTCTGTTTCCTGAACATATTATTCCCACCTATTGAATTTTTGGATAGCATTGTTCTGAAATTCATATGTTTTACATACATGTAAAATAAACAGAAAGTAATGTGCAAATTTCTTCAAAGCTCATAGAACTTTAAAAGGCCCTTAATCAGTTGCATAATGTTTAAGTAAACTCTCAAATTGATATTTAAAGTGTGTGTGTATATTTTTGGGTTGTGTTCAGATTTTCTTACTCTCATCTAACATGGTGTTTGTGACTGGTGTCTAACAGAACATAGAGATAACATTCAACTTGGTTTGTAGCCTTCATTATTCCTCCACCTCCCTACCCTCTGACTGCCGATTGCCTTCCCGCCTATTTCCTTCCCTCCTTCCCTTTGTGTCCGTCCGTCTGTCCGTCCATCCCTGTGTCCCCCCCACCCCCACCCCACTCCTTTTAAGACTGGGTTTTATATAGCTCAGGCTGACTTTGAAGTTCTTATCCTCCTGCTCATGTTAAATCTCTCTTAGGAACAATTTTATGGCCTGATGTCAGGCAAAACTGTATAACTTTCTTGTGCCTTAAAATTCTTTACTCATACAAGAAGCCAGGCCAGACTGGCCTTAAACTCACTGTAGCTCTCCTACCACAGCCTCCTGAGTACTGAGATTAACTGTGCGAGCTACCACAGTTTTACTGCAGTTGTGGAGTAGTTGATGTGGGGCTCTCAGATTCTATCTTCATTTAAGGCCCAGTTGCCTCTGCTCACTTTGTTAAATGGCTTGTAAACATTAATATTACAGATGTCCAGGTCACCCACTTTGTATACCCCTCTGTTTTTAGCGTTTAGCTGGAGGTCAATGTTAATTGTGAGAGGAGTCATGCTTATAAGGTTGGGATGGTGCTGCGTGGCTAGTGCCAGCTGTAGAATCTAGTTTGGGTGACCTATAAACAATTTGCTTTCACTCCACCATCCTATATGTAATTCCTGAGGTCCACTTGACTTCCTAAGAACCTAGAACCAGTAAGTAACTTGTCTTCCTTGTCACAATCACACATGTAAAGAAGACATGTATGAGAGCTGATTTGAAGTTAGATTATTTTGACTTTCGATTTTTTTTTTTTTTTTTTGACACAGTAGTCTTGACTGATCTTGAGGCCACTCTTTAGTCTTCACATGTCCTCTAAGTCTTGATATTCCTGCCTCCACCACCCTATTTCCCTTTAAAGCTAATTCCGAAGATCTCAAATGTGATGTTAGCATTCAGACGTCTCATTTCAATTGGAATAATGCTAATTTCAAACCTATAAGTACTGCATACTGTGTAGTAGAGAATTGTGTGTTGCCTTTGTACAGCTTCAAGATGCCCTTGTTCATGTGTGCCAGCATAATATACACTCAGCAAAGACAGCAACACCACTGTTCCCTAGAGAGTCAACACTAAAGAGAGGGAACAGTTCTTAACCCTAAGTACCCCAATCAAGAGTATGGAAAGTGATAAACAATAAATACACCATAGAGCCATTTACTCTGTGAATAGCTGGCACTGGAACCAAGAAGAATGAAGTGGAGTGCTAACATAAGCACGCTGCATTATCCGGATTCTAAACTTTCTGCTGAGGTGTGGGCTGAGGGTTCTTCATGCTCATTGACCACATATCTTCGGGCTCCATTTTCCATCATTTTCTCAGTATCTGGTTTTAATTGATCTCTTGCCCTTAACTTCCTGTACCCATTGTATGCTTTCTGTCCTCTCCAAAAATTCTTTCTAAATTTATGAACTTCAAACTTAGGAACCTTAAATCATTTCCTCCTAACTTCAGGAATAACAGTATAAATAGTTGGTAAAATGTGGTTTACCAGGTCTTCCTGAGACAATGGAGCAGAGACCATGCATCAGGAAGGTAAACATAGAATTAAAAAATACAGGTCATTTAAATGTTAAAATATCGAATACTGAACTGGGCATGGTGATGCACGTCTTTTTATCCCAACACTCAGGAGGCAGAGGCAAGCAGAGCTCTATGAATTTGAGGCCAGCCTGCCTACAGAGTGAGTTCCAGGACAGCCAGGAGTACACAAAAAGACTCTGCCTCAAAACAAAACAAAACAAAATAATGAATACTTTATTTGAATTTTGTTTTTTTTTTTTTAAAAATAAGCATTTGTTTTTTGAGTTTTTCTTTTATCAAGAAATGATGGATTAATGAAAAGGTTGTTAATGAAATTTCTTAATAATGCTCTTTGGAATTTGTAGGTTGTTATCCTTGTCCTGGGCCAAACATGAATCCGATTGCTCTTGGGAGCCGCTGGCTTGCTTATGCAGAAAACAAGGTAAGCTATGGCACAGATTTGAGTTAGTTGTAATGGGGCAGGTATGGAAGGACTTTGTACATTTTGTATTGATTATCTGCTGGTGAAAACCAACCAGTAGTAAATGTTTTTTTTTTGGGGGGGGTTGGTTTTACTTGTACATCCACTAATCTGACTCTTAAGTATTCATAGCTGGGTCTGGTGGTACATACCTCTGATTCTAGCACTTGGAAGTCAGTGGTAGGAGGATCACCTCAAGATCTGGGCTAACCTGGGCCACCCAGGCTAGCCATATATGGTGAGCCATTACCTCAAATAGAAAAATCATATTTTCTTCTTTTGTTTTTGTGTTATTAGGGTCCCTTAAGCTCAGGCTGGATTTGATGCCCCCATCCTCTTGCATTCACCCAAGAGCTGGGACAAGTAGCATATGTCACTAGCTTGCCCAGCGATTGTTAAATATTGAAATAAGCACTGAAGTTCACTGTCACAACAATGCTTTCTAAAGATAGAAATTTCCAGGAATAATCCAGAAGCCTGCCTTCTTGCATAGATTGTAATCATGGTGCATAGAACTATTTTATTGGCCTTATATGATCAGCAGCCAATTGTAATGATTAAAGCACATGCAAGGCCTTGTGAGATACATGTATGTATGTATGTATGTGTTATGTATGTGTATGTATGTATATATGTTAATAACTTGGTTTACTAAGATTGCCATAGTATGTACAAGTTGTTATATATATGCTTCTATATCTCAGTGTTTTATTTATGTACAGTCCAATGTAAAGCATAAATTTTGATTTTACCCTAGAAGGTATGAAATCTTTTTTATGCTATTTTGGACTCTGCCTATAAATATAGAATAAAATATAAAAGTATTGTTGGCTTGAGGATTAGTGTTTTTGCTTCATTTTTCTTGGTTACATGGTTATTGTGTCTTGAATATTATGAAATAGTACAAAATAGTTATTGACAAAATCAGGATGTGGTACTTAAAAGTAAGTACTTGGTGAAGCCACAGAACTCTTAAATCAACTGGCCTCTGGAATGTGCAGAATCAAGAATGGGCTGATGAAAATCATTTTTCTAGATGAAGTCCTTAATTTATTTTCCAAAAGCCTGTCTACAAAAATTAAGATATTTTGCATGTTATTGAATGCTCTATTTATAATCCTCCTTGCCTGGTCTCTTCATTTTCCCGTAAAAATAGCTCATTTCAGATTATTCTTTTTAAACAATACAAGGGCCGTACAGCTAAATGGGGTGACATAATGGTGTCTCCTAATGTTTATATCTGTAATGCATTTCCCTTGAGTGCTGGAGACATACACAAAGAAAGTGTATAAACCATCCCTTGGCACTTGCCAGTATAGTCTCTCATGTGGAAATCTGCACATTTGTAGTTGGAGGTTTAATTAACTACCTACTGTTTTTGAAAAGAAGCAACTCCGTGAAAGTTCATTTGTAGATACATATGTCACGCGCAGGAACCAAGCAGGCATGCATTGCCATTGTTGGTAGAAATACTCATAAATAATAATGTAGGGTTAAAATTTGAAGAACATTTTTCACACAGTGTGGTCGACTCTGTGTGTGTGTGTGTGTGTGTGTGTGTGTGTGTGTGTGTGTGTGTTTGGGTGTGGGCTCTCGTGTGCATGTAGGTGCCTGAGGAGGCCAGAGTGATTGGACCCTCCTGGAGCTGTGAGTTACATGAACTTGTGAGTCTGTTAATGCGGCTGCTGGGAACAAAGCTCAGGTCTTTTGCACGAGCGTCTCTCCAGTCTCCTTGGTTCTTTCTAAGGAGCAACATCATTAGAAAGCCAGCTTTGTCCTGTGGGTATGGCCTTTGTACTCAGGTATGTTTCTTTATAGAACTTCTCAATGGGAACATGTCACATATAGAAAACAGGATTGTGGACATATTTGTACATCTATATATGCATACTCACATGAGGTAGAAATGAGGTATTCACACTGATATTACACCAAGTTTTTTCCTGTTCCTTCTCATAGTTATGTCCCTTCCTTTGTGTGTCAGCATCTATCCACGTGTTCAGTTCCTATAATTCACAAGTAGTCACAGATTGCTCGTCTGTACCCGAGGCATGCCCACTGTCACTGCTGCCTAAGACTGCAGGAGTTCAGTTCACCAGTCTTTGTGGGGAATTTAAACCCCTTCCTTCCTTCCTTCTTTCTTTCTTCCTTCCTTCCTTCCTTCCTTCCTTCCTTCCTCCCTCCCTCCCTCCCTCCCTCCCTCCCTCCCTCCTTCCTTCCTTCCTTCCTTCCTGGTGTGTATGTGTGTGTGTGTCTGTGTACACATATACACAAGCATGTACAGAGGTCGGAGAACAACGTGGAGTTATTTTTCTTCTTTACCATGTGGGTTCTGGATATTGAACTGAGGCTTGGTGGCAAATCCCTTCATCTGCTGAGCCATTTCATATTTATTTTTATTGGTTGGTCATTTTTCCCGTTTGTACTTCCATTTTGATTAGACTTTCATTTAATTTAATTTCATTTATTGTGAAATTTGCATATTTTATATACATTCATATTTTATGTGTCAATGTACATAATATATGCATGTAGTAACATGTATTCCCCTTTTACAAAAGGTAACATATTTGTTTCTTAATGATCATTTTACTTAATATTATTTCCCAGAAATTAGTCCATTTGTATGCTAATTTTGTTTAAAAAATGATAATTTTTATGCTGTTTCTGACCATATTTTCATGTGCAAGTCCTGACTCAGTTGTAGTTAAGCTGAAGTGGTCAAGAGTATTGGTTATCTTTCCATTTGCCTTTGAATATTTGTTAGTCCTGTTTTTATATGGAAATCTTCATTTTCTCTTTTTATGTAACATTAACGGTTTTATATGTGTATGTATATACTTTGCTCTTGTCCTGATGGTGAGATGGTATAGTAGTGGGTGAGGGTGTTTGCTGTTCATGAGGATTGTGATGAGCTTAAAGCGGGAGAATGGTTCAGCCTTTGCACAATACTGTCTTTCTCTGCTTAAGCAGCAGGAGGCAGCAGAGGAGTAATTTTCATAATGTTTGACTGAATTTGTGGTTGAATTAACAAACCATTCTTTTCCATTCACTAAAATAGTCACTTTCCACATTTACTCTGACAAACACATTTACTGATCAGAAAACTTGAATTCTGTTCATTGTAGCTTCAAAGACGTGGCCTGAAAAATAGCTTGGCTTCATGTACCAGGTGTTCTAGTCTGTTACATTCGTATTACTTTGAGGGATTTCAAAGTAAAAGTGTGAGTTAGGAGTAGAAGGATTATGTGGTACTCGGTGCCATAGAACCAAATATTAGGTCATAAAAGAAGTTTTCCAAATTTTATTTATTAATTTCACAGGCTTTGAAAATAACTGTTACAGTATCATGCTGTTCACATGCCCTGCTATTGTCATTTTACTTTTAAACTGTTATATGATTATGATTATTTTTGGGACACTTTTGTTGTTGCTAGTGAAGAGTTTGAGTCTGTCTTTCTGCTGGGCATGTCAGAATCAAAATTGTGAATTCATATTGACAGTAGGAAGTTTAGTCTGTTCCAAGTGGCCAGTATTGTGAGTCCTCCGAAGTGGACAGTTAGTGTATGTGCATAGTTGGTTTGTGCACTCTCTGTTCACTTTCTCCAGACACATTGGACATGCAAATGGGCTAAAATGTTCTGCCTGTTCTTTTAGGTTTCCTTTTATAATCCTTGCAGAGGAATTAAGAGGAGAAAACATCCAATTTGCTAGTATGTCAAATATTTAATGTTAGGAAGTTATGTGTAAGTCCTTTGATTATGTTTTTTAAATTTATTTGTGGAAAGGCTGCCAGACCCGGAATCCTACCATTTGAGAGTTTATGAATTCTTAAAGCCCGTTCATCGTGTAATTAAAACCATAGTTGAGCATGAAACTGCCTGAGTGGCACCAGAAGATTATAAAAAGGGGTAAATGTGTCTCAGCAGGGCTTTTAGCTGTTTTGTCTGCAGTACACTCATGCAAACATTCCCACCCACCATCATTATTATGCACGGTAAATAGCCACTGTCTAATAGCCTGTAGAGTTAAACAGCTTAATAGAAAATGACTCTGGTGTTCTTTTCTCCCCCTTACCCCAGTTGATTCGATGTCATCAGTCTCGTGGTGGAGCCTGTGGAGACAACATTCAGTCTTACACTGCCACAGTCATTAGTGCTGCTAAAGTGAGTACCTCAGAAGTTTCTAGAAGTTGTGATTATGTGAAGTAATTAACCAGGTTTGACTACTGAATTGTGATAAGATGGTCCATTCCATTTTTGTTCACAAGTGTAGAATGAATGAAAGAAGTCAGAATGTGTTGGCCTTTTGCGATTTGGAAGTTAATCTTTCAAGATTAATAGTTCTTTTATTGTGAAGATTGTATGGTTTGTACTTACTCCATTAAAAGCCTGGGTGTATTTCAACTGGATTCAGGTCTTGAGACTAATTAAGAACATATTGCAGTGAACTGTACATGTTTTAAGTGGCAATTTGGTTGGGTTTTTTTTTGGGGGGGTTGTTTTTTTCTGTGATTTGGGTCTTCATACCTACACTGACAGGCTTGTGTACATCCCTGTGCATCTTTGAACAACTCGGTGTCTTCTTGATTTCAAAATTTCCTCATGAAAACTTGAGTTGGTCCCCTGGCACATTCAAAGATTCTTTCATATCTAGAGGCTTGCCCCTTGCTGTTTGTCAAGTGACTTCTCTGTGTGTGAGGGTTAATTTTGATGCTGTCTGGTAAACTTTGTGCTGATTATAAGGTATTCTTACAACCACCATGCTTTTGAATTGTGAAGTCTACAACAGAGCAATTCTAATAATAGGGAGGACAGAGTGAATCTGCATGACAGCATGTAATAGAAAGCACAACTGCTCAGAGGACAACAGTCCAAAGTCAACCACAGAGAGGGAATCAAAGGTCACACTGTTTTATGTTAAATACAAAAATACTTCAAGATTGTCACAAATGCTTGCATGGTGTGCATTAGAATGTGTCCCCAGGCATGATGAGAGAAGTGTTACACTCACTTCACTCACAAGCAGAGGAAGGTAAAGTCTTTACACTCAAAGCACTGTGTGTTCATGTTGCTCTATTCTGGTATAAAAAGACTGTAATTAGGCGAACTCTTGAGTGTTCTCCTGTGAGTTCATCTATGGTAATTTCACAAAGAGGTGCCGCTTTGAATGTTAGACCGATGAACTGAACTGTCTCACACATGTGGATCCAGACAGCACATCACTTTGAATGACCCACTGGGGCTGCACTTTATGCTTTTGTTTGTTGTTAGGTTTCTTTTTTCTTTCCCTTCTTATATAAAAGGAAAGGGCCTGGTTTCATTTTGAAAGTGTTTTGTTGTGGGTATATGGAAATGAGGCTAGAGTTAATGACTTCAGAAATTAAAAGTCTGAGCCCTCCCCATTCCCCCACTTTTTATTGGGATATGAGGTGTGTATTCAGGTCTTCCTTGTTTAGGCTTTAAAAAATGACCCAAGCCATGTTACCTTACAATTGTAACCTAACACTTTGAGGGGCCAAGGCAGGAGGGGGACCACTGCAAGTTCAGGCTAGTCCAGGGTACATACTGAGATCAAGGCCAGCCTGAGCCAGAGTGTGAAATTGAGCACTCCTCAGTTTGTCTCCCCAGAGAAATTAAGTTTAAACATTTTGTCTGATTGATCTTTAAAAGGGCATTTATAACCTATTGGGTCATTAGAATTTATTGTGTGATAGGCATATACTGTATTCCTGTTCTGTATCATGCATGGTTCTAGAGCCGTGATACAGGCACACTTTTAATTTAAACATGTATTAAATTCTGAGTTGGTAAATTGTATTTATAACCAACTCAGATGTTTGTCATTAAATAGTTTTGAAAACAAACAGCAAAAAAAAAAAAAATCCATATAGTATTGATCTGTTTATTTGGATTCATGTCTGAAGGCATGAGTATTTTAAAGTTCCCTTAAAATATTGTCAAATCATTTAAAAATTTGTTTGTTATATTTGTTTTTTAAGGCAGGCTTTCATGTAATCCCTGCTCACCTCAAACTCGCTATGAGTGGAGATGCTCCCTCCTGGAATTGTATTCCTTCTGCATCCATTTCCCAGACACACTGATCCTTGATTCATAAGCATTATCTGGGGTTTTGTTTTTAAACATAAAGTATTCAAAAGTTGCATTAATTTCTACCCCAATTGGTAATATCCCTCGTAAAGTACTAGATAATATTTATTGTTAAAAGAACCTCCCAAGGAATGGAATAGTTCCAGATTGCATAGTGACTATGTGAATTATTATAATCCAGAATACTTCCTTTGTCCTATTACTGTTAATTGTAGATATAGTCACTGCATGTTTTTGTGCCAGACTTATTCTTTTTTTTCTTTCTTTCATTCATTCATTCATTCATTCATTCATTTTTGAGACAGGGTTTCTCTATGTAGCCAGGCTGTCCTGGAACTCACTCTGGTGACCACAGAGATCCACCTGCCTCTGCCTCCCACATGCTGCCATTCTTTAATATGGCCAGAGTCTATTAAATTTACTTGGAAAAAATATTCTTGTAAAAGGGGCTGAGGAGGGGGCTCAATGGTTCCGGTGCTTCCTGTGCCAGCCTCAAGACTTCTGGTCTCTTCCTCTGTTTCCACTTACTCACTTTGATGGCCTGGTATGTAACTTCAGTGCTGAAGGTACCGGGCCTTGCTGGTGAGGCATTCTAGCCAAAACAGCAAGCTTTACATTCAAGTGAGTGATCCTATTCCAATCAGAAAATGAGGTTGAGAGCAATGGAACAAGATGCTTAAATCATTCTCTGGACTCCATATGGGTATGCCTAGCCATGTACTCCATGCCTCTCACCTAAATGCAGAGAAACATAACATCCAAAGACAGTTTTAGTTTTTTGTTTATAATTTAAGGATAAGTAATTATGAGCCATTTATGGTGGTGCACATCTGTTGTCTCAGCTGTTTGGCAGGCTGAAATAGAAGGTTCACTTGGACTTAGAAATTGGAGACTTACCTATGTAACATGGTGATTCTACATGTCTGTTCTTTCTGTCTGTGAATTTCACAGAAACATAAATACAAAAATAAATAGGATAGAGAATAAACAGTGCTGTATTAAATAAAATAGGAACAGTAAGATTGTGCCTATTTTTTTTTTTTTAATGATGACATGTTACCTTGGCTAAAAAAAATTGTTAATATCATGAAAAAAATCAAACTAGAGTTAGGTCTGGCAATTGATAATTAGAATATAGTAGAAAACACAGATAATTTCTTAAAAAGCTCTGTTGCACACAAGAGGCTGACTCTTTAGCTGTTGTCCTGTCCCCCTCCCACCACACACCACAAGATGCAGGATCACACTAACATAGACTCACAGTTACACAGAGCATCCTGAAAGCCACCAGGCTAATCTGGAACTCACAGGTACCACCCTGACTCAGCCTCCCAGGTTGTTAGGATCCCAGGTTGTTAGGATCACATCATTTTTTGCTTCAACCCAAAGAATGGCAGGGGTCTAATCAGGTGGAAGCCTTCGGCAAGGCTAATTCCAATACATGACTCCCTACTTCCAGAGATGTGGTAGGTGCTTCATGTGGTGTCTTTGCAACCTTCTAGCAAGTACAGATGTTCCCAGGCCCGTGTACCCACCAGGGTGCCTGGGTGCCTGCACTACCTTGTGTTGGATCTGGTCTCCCAGCACTCCACTGTCTTGACTAATGTTCAACACCTGCTGCAGCGTTTCACATAAACATCCAGAGTTTATTGGTCGGCTTGTTTAACTAGTTTATTATGATGGGACATAGAGTATAAGTTTCTTATTTAGCTTATCTGTGGTGGGTTTATGTACCTGGGAGCAGATGCCTTGGGTTCCCAGAAGGCAGACGAATCACTGGAATGGGTGTTACAGGCTATTCTGAGCTGCCTGACACAGGCTGGCATCTGAAGTCTGCTTCTGCAAGAACAGTATCCTTAACTGCTCAGTCATATCTCCAGCCTCATAGGTTAAATATAAATTACACACACACACACACACACACACCCTTTTAATTTTTTTTATTTATTGCATTTAGTGCATAAGTAACTATGTGCCTGTGTCCATGGCATGCGTGTGGAAGTGAGAGGATACTTTCAGTAATCTACTCCCTACTTCTACTGTGGGGGTTTAGGGATCAAATCCACCCAGTCATCTCACCAGCCTTAGATTTTAATGAATAAATTGGTAAACAAGTTTGCTTACGAAACTCCAAATAATCTCTAGGGTGTGGAGGTGCACATATATAATCCCAGCACTGAACATTCTGCATTCTAGGCCAACCTGAAACTCTGCTTCAAGCATCAAAAAGAACCTAGGGACTCTTACTCTGGCTGTGTTTTAGGGAACCCACTATGTATTAGGACTTCTCAAAGCTGGTAACATAAGCTGCCTATAGGCTTTCTCAATTTTCTAGAAAGTTGAAGCTAGGAAGTTTAAATAAAACACTGCTTAAACAGTTAACTAATAATGACAGAGCCAAAATTCAAATCTAGAATTCTCTCTGTCCAGATCTGATCTTTAACCACAGTCCTAGCCTATTTTGTTTGTAATTTGTTCCTACTAACCTATGGGTCAGGGATACAAAACAGGTATCTGGTTGGGTGAAGATGTACCAAAAATTAAGAACCTTGGCTGGGAAGACTGTCCCAAGGTTTAGGCCAGTATAGTCTACACCATCATTTCTGGATTCCCCATGGCTACAGACTGGCATATGCTCCAAAAGTAAAACATTCTTAAGAATGTTAAACTGTAAAGTATACTTAAATAAGATGACCAGAAAGCACAAAGATAAAACTTAGAGAAGACTGAAACAGAGGGGGGCAAAAACCCACAAATCAATTTCAACTGTTTTGTTTTGTGCTAAAATCTCAAACTGCAGTGATTATAAAACACATTAGTGTTCCTCAATTAGCAGCCAAACGTTTGTTTCAATAATTCACAAGAAACGACTTACACCAAGTCTGTTAGTGTTGTTGAGTAAGCCTCTGAAGGACCCAGGGAACCAGGCGCCACAGTGTATTGATGTGGAGCAAGCAGGAAGCCTGATTAACCTCTGAGATGCCTCAGCTGCCACAAGCCCACCATCAGTGCTAATGGAGCCATTCCCACGCAGCGGTACCAAACCTTTATCAGCAAGGCCTTTCAGAATGAAAGTGTCTGCTTGTGTATCCTCAGTGTTTGCCCCTGAGCAAATAAGCTCATGCTTTTATGCCAGCGAATATGAATAGAACTGGGGCACATAAAAAGTGGAAAGAAATGCAAGAAAGTAAGTCACAAGGCAATGGCAAAAGTCACCAAGAAAACAAGAGAGAAAGGCAATATATTTCAGTCATGTTGGCATGAAAACTTGATGTGACTTTGGAAAGAACAATGACTATTGGCAAAAGCATCTTTTCTTTTTCTTTTTTTTTTTTTTTCTTAACTATAACCCCTTTATAGTCACCAAATCTTCAATTTGTGTAGTAAGTAATGAGACTGTAAGAATCATTGCAGCCACCTAAATTTCTACATCAACAAAGACTTTGCTTGAGAATGAACATAAGCGAGCCAGGTGTGGTGGCATAGGCCTTTAATCCCAGCAATCTGGAGGCAGAGGATATCTGAGTTCAAGGCCAGCCTGATCTACAGAGTGACTTCCAGGACAGTCAGGCTACACAGAGAAACCATGTCTTGAAATAATGAACATAATAAAAATTTAACAGTCATTCTTAAGGTCTATATCATGTTGGAATGAAGCACATCTTTAAGCACTTTTGCAGTGAGTAACAGATGTGATGCTGCAGTACTCACACACCTTCCCACTTTATCTAAAATAGCTAATGCATACTGGGAATAGAGAAAACATGTATGGAAATAAATCGGACAAGTCTGCACAATCTGAAATATTTAAATTCTTTAAAGGTTCTTCAATCCCTGATTATTTTGCCAGAGTGCTCTCACAAAACAGTACTGTTGAATTAAGGCAGCTGACCATATGACTAAAACAACGTGTGAAAAAAATCCATCATAGCCTTTAATCCTATAGACTGGTATATGTTCTCTTCCAGTGCAGGCAAGTCTGCCACAGGGTCCCTTGTCATTTTGAACCTTTCTCTGCCCTATCAGTTGTCCCCATCCATTAGCGCTAATGGCGTTGCTCTCTCAGAACTGTTGTCGTTAAGTTATCAGGTAACAAGAGAAAACATGGGCATTTTTATTAAATCAATTGACCACAGTGGGGAGAAAAGACATTAATATAAGACTGTTAGGAGAGAGCTAGTAAACATAAATCAAGATTTTAAAAATGTAATCACATAATCTCATTTGAACAATTTCTTAGCACCAGCATAGAAAATTAACCTCTTCTACAGTCTACATAAAGAAATTCAGGCTGACTGTTAGAGCAAGCAGTGAAAGAAATTTAAAAGTTTACACATTAATTTGAATTGCTAGTCTGAAATGAAGAACATGTATAAAAGATTATTTCCTTTCAAGGGTTCCAAGTATCTATGCAATAATAGGTTTTTCTTTATAGTAGAAAGTAGTAAGACAAAAAGACAGATAGGATTAGATGTAAGAAAAAGACCACTAAGAAACACATAGTAGATCATATACCCTATTACAGGTAAAGGTTTTTTTTGCCATAATTATTTTTCTGCAATTATTCTTTAAATATGGCCTTAAAATCTAGGCTGTTTGCTCTAGCTCTAATGTGAAGAGTTTCCCTCAAAACTTTGTTATTGGTATAGTTCTTAGCTTTTTTTTTTTTTTTTTTTTTTTTTTTTTTTAAGCCCCAGAAGAAAAAACAACTGTTACTTTTAAGAACATTTTGGCTCATGGTTTCACTTATGTATTTTCTTTCTCAATACAGACTTAACCTAGGGCCTCTGGCATGTGAAACAAACACTCAGTGAGCTGCAGCCTCTGCCCTAATTTCTATTAACATACATCAGAGCAATTAGTTGAGATTTTTGTATAAGAAAAAATATTTGCTCACTTGCTTTGAGTGGATTATTGTACCAGAAACACTACATTGGATTGCTTCTTCTCACAGACAAGAAAGAAACCTGTCCAACTATGCTTCCTATTTGACATCATTTGTGTAGTAATTATTTTGAAGGGAGAAAGTAATTCCTATCACTACTCTTAGTGTAAAGTCTTTTATAATAGCATAGATATATTTTAGAATTTTAATCTTTTCCCACTCAGATATTCTGTCAGTGTCTCAGTCCTTATCTTGATGAATATAAAATTTGATATACAATATTTAAAAAACATTGTCATATCGCCAACTCCTATCTTACTATGCCATATATTCTAAAATATGTACATTAAGGGGATGCAGTAAAAGAAATATTTATTTGTACCCTATTGAACAAAACAGCTCTGTGCTTGGAATTGGTGTCATTTAATTATGACATTATTACCAGCACACTGATGTTGGTGCATCATCGATGACATTTCCTTGAACTCAGGTTGATTTTTCTAAGATTCGAGATCACGTTGAATGGCAGACTGAACATCTTTGGTGTTTATTGCTATATGAAATACTGTAAGAGAGTAAGAACTTGGGACTAAGAAATTGATGTGAGTGCATATTCCTGTTTAGACTTCATATTTTTGTTGTAAGTCATTTATTTTCTCTTTTGTTATGTAGACATTGAAAAGTGGCCTGACGATGGTTGGGAAAGTGGTGACTCAGCTGACAGGCACATTGCCCTCCGGGGTGACAGAAGATGATGTTGCCATCCACAGCAACTCGAGACGGAGCCCTTTGGTGCCAGGCATCATCACAGTCATAGATACTGAGACAGTTGGAGAGGGCCAGGTAAGAACTCCAAATGCATGGCATTCCTGTTACCTGCAGAACCAAAAGGTTCTTGGTCCAAAGTGATAAATAATTTACAGTTTTGGAAATATGGATTATTTTGGGTCAGATTTTTTTTTCACTGATTCAAAGAAAACAGGGGACTTTTTCAACTTATTAGTTCAATTATCATTAATGCTTAAAATCTAAAGGGAAAGCTGAAGAAATCCTCACTCTACTTTCTCATACCATGCATTTTGTAAATACTTCCACACCCATTTATGCTAGTCTGTTCACACTGTTTCTTGGTATAGTGTCATGTTGCAATCTAAATCCCAAGAATAATACATTTCTCCTAAGGGCATGAAAAGACAGGAAGGCAGTTTGGGGAACTTGAGTTTAAGGGGAAAATAAGAAAATAAGTGGCAGTGGTTATGTGTGACATAATTTAATGTATTATATGAAATTTTATAATGTTTCCTTTCTTTTGGTTTTTGGAAGACAAGAATTTGCTGTTGCCCAGGCTGTCAGTGGCAGTCACCCTTTCCCTAGTGTTCTGAGTGCTGGGGTTACAGGCAAGAGCACCATGCCTAGCTAACATATTCCCTTTTAAACATAACAAACAAACAAAATAATCACACGTGGAAATTCGAAATTGCATACCAGAAAATATACATGACAGTAGCCTGGGGGAATCCTGCATCTTCAGACATTGTGTCTAATTAGGAATCATTAGGAAGGGGTGGTTCACTGAAATGCACAAGAGAATTTGCCTTTGTGTCTTATGTTGTTCCTAGGATGTTTTTGGCAAACCTTTTTCCACCTCTTCCCTCTTCAGTCAGTCATGAAATCTTGTTCATGTTCTAGCCTTTAAAATATAGTTCTGGATGGAATATTTTTAAATCTTGATACTTAAGATTGTCATTTTAATAAATGTAATCCTAAATGTTTCTAGCTGGAGAAGTAGTAGGTCTATGAGACAGTTAATGTCAAATAGGTATTCATTTACTATTCAGAAAAAATGCTTAGAAAATTTGTAAGTCTCTGAAGTATTGACCTGCAGTATTGTATGCTCTGTGGAGGAACCAGCTTCTACTATACATGGGCCAGCATTGATGAAAAATTACATTTGGCAGCTACTTGTATGCTATTTCCTGTAGAAGGATCAAACGGCACTTTGAGAAAGAGTAGATGTTAGTGCAATTAAAACAAAAATTCTTTGAAATTTTGTGTTGTTAAATTTGGTTCTGTTTTATTTAAAATTTAAGTGATAGTAATTTTCTGTTTCTTCCTTCTTAACTTTCAGATTAACCAAATACATTGTATGCTTGTATTGATTTTTTTTTTTAATGTGTGCTAGCAAGCTTTTGTATGAACTGTTAGGATGGAGAAGGGGAGGGAGAGGAAAGAACAAACTTGAGCTGATGTGGATAGGCACATACACATATTCTCTTTTCAAATGTCATCTGGATGCTATGCCTTTAGTCCCAGCATTTAAACACCATCATTTGAACCCTGGATTTCAGGGACCAGCCTGGAAAACAGTCAAAGGATATAGGAGCTATGGAAGGAGGGAGGGAAATTTTGGTTTAATATGGAAATAAATGCACTATAGATTATGGAGTTGCAAAATTTTATCATTCATTGATGAACAAATCAAAGAACCTTATCAAGACTTAGCACATGAAAAATGTTTTTCCCCCACTGTTGTTTGGGAAACATCACTGCTTTGCCACCTATGTATGTATGTATGTATGTATGTATGTATGTATGTATGTATGTATCCTACAACAGGAAAGAGATGGGTGTTCAGGAAGTAAATAAGAACTATGACAGTATAAAAGAACTGCATTGGCCGGATGTTGGTGGCTCATGTCTTTAATCCCAGCACTCAGGAGCAGAGGCAGGTGGATCTCGTGAGTTTGAGGCCAGCCTGATCTACATAGTGAGTTCCAGGACAGTCTCCAAAATAATACAGACAAACCCTGACTCGAAAAACAAACAAACAAACAAATAAAACAAACCAAAACAAAAAAAGAATTGTATTTTTTAGAGGAACCTGGGTTCCGTGGTACAGTGCTGCCTCTTTCATCTCATCTTCACGAATCTATTTTTATGAGACACCTCTATCTCAGACAGTTTGGAGAACCCGGCTGTTTTATACTGCGGAGTGTTAGAGGGAATGTCACCTCAGAGACTTGCCAGTCCTAGTCCTGCTGTTTAGTCATCTCCGCCATGCTCTTCACTCTTGTATGCATCTCAGGAGTTACACATTGTCTTCTGTGACTTAAATCCACTGAGGCTTGAATATAGTGTCACATTCACTCTGGCAGCATTTAAAATCTGATTCACCATCTTTCTGTTGCTATATTGATTAATTTGATTTTATGGTGATGGGATCATTGCATGGTAACTGCATTAAGGAGGGATAGATTTAATTGACTTTGTGTCCATTTTCATCTTTGTTACTTTCATGTTTTATTTAAAAGCATTTCTTGACTGGGGAAGTTAAGTGGTATGATTTGCCTTTTACACATTTATATAATCGAAGTTAGCAATGTGGCAAAACCAATAAGTGGAATACAGTAGCCTTAATCTTACCTAGGTTTTGCTCCAGACTAGGTATTCTTATACACCTTGTAGTAACTAAAGTGTTTTCTATTGTTTAGTATAGTTGTTGGTCCGAATTGTTGCTTGGGAGAATTACATGGGTTAATGAAGATGGTATTAGTGGTCTGAAGCTTTAGGTTCAATGATGAAGCCCTTCCCAGTGTGTGTAGTTGTATGACTTACATGTGTTTTATAAGGATAACAGTCATGGCACCTCACATCATACCTTAAGTTTTCTTAAAGCAATATAGTTTTAGTATTTCTATTGAATTGAGTAAACAATACTAATTGCCTTAGTTTCTAATTACATTGAACAGAAATTGGACAAATGACAGAAATATTTTACGTAAAAGTACCTAAATTTAATCCATACAACTCATTATAAAGAGTTTGCAACTTAAAACTACATATTAGACTCTGAGAAACTCAAAAGCTTGTGGATATATTCTATATTTGCACCTGTAAATTTTGAAATAATGTGTTCCCATCCCTCAACCCTAACTACATCTCATTCTCTTTGTTTGTATTTTGAGGGTACGTGATATTTATTTATATAATTTTATTTTTTGAGGCAGTCTATTTTATACATGGTTGACTTAGAACTTTCTGTGTAGACCAGGCTGGCCTCAAGCTCAAAAAGACTGCCTGCCTCTGCCTCCCAAGTGCTTGAATGACCATGCATGCCACTTCCCTGTTACTTCCTTTTTTTGACAACTAGTGTGTCAAATCACACTTGTGTGATTTTGAAAATGGCACATAAATGGGGTCAAATGTTGATGGTTTTAACATTTATTTGTAGGGTCATCATTTCATCAACATTCTTTTCACATATTTTTATCTGAATAGAATGAAGAAAGTCTCTGCTAGAGAGACTCTTACTTGAGTTGGCCCACTGGCAAATCTCCAAGTCCTCCCTGTATTCTTTGTAAAAAGGTCAAATTGGTAGGGAAAGTGTGGAGATGCAGTCAGATACTGGCATTCGGGGGTGCAGTTTATCTTCCAATATTTAGGAGTATAAAAAGATATTGCCAGCCTAGACCTAGAAGCCTTTCAAATGATGCTCTGCACATCGGCACTTGTACTTGAAATCTTTAATAGTAGGGAATAGAAGGATGGAAATGATGTTTGAAAAAATGTTAGCCAGATTTAGTGGCATAGTCCTTTAGCCCCATGATTCACAAAGTAGAAGCAGGAGACAGGTTGCCTGTGAGCCTGGGTTACACAGCAAGTCTTTCATCTACGAACACAGAACAAACAACAGAAATTATCCATGAAACAGAAAGCAAAAATATACACACATGCTTCCCTTTGTTACATTTTTTAATATTTGGAGAACTTTTAAAAAATGATATATTTGTCAAATTTTGAGTTGCTATTACACATGAATGTGTTATCTCTCTGGAGAAAATGTGCATTTGATCAAGGGACCACATTTTACTAGAAAGGGAATGCTGATAAACATACCATAGTCTGCTCAGAGACCACTAAGGAATTACTAAAACCAGTAACACCCAAACCTTCCTGTTTTAGCCTCCTGAGTAGGGACTTTAGGTATACACTAGGATCCCCTGATAAAGCTTATTTTTATTAAACATAAAAGATGATCATTTGGATAGCCTATAGTTTTGACTTATTGAAGTACATAGCATACTTTGGTTTTTTGTTTGCTTGTTTGTTTTTTCGAGACTCTGTAGACCAGGCTGGCCTTGAATTCACAGTGATCCTCCTGTCTCCGCCTCCCGAGTGCTGGGATTAAAGGCATGTGCCACCAATGCCCAGCTGAAGTACATAGCATACTTAAGGCCAACTATATTAATAATTTTTGTGTTAGAATCAAATTCAAAAGTATCTAGAAAGATTAGATTGAAAGCCAATGCTTTTATGAAAGTAATTTATGTAAATAACAGTGATATTAGAATAGTGACATTCGCCATTGTATGGAGTCTTGTGTTTCTTTATTATCTGCCCTCCCTGTGCCTGCACCTATATGCACACACGTGCATGCTTGTCAAAAGACAAGTTATAGATGTTAGTTCTTCATTGGAACTCAAGTAGTCAGGTTTGTGGGACAAGGATTTTTGGCTGCTGAGCCTTCTTAGTGGCCCAGCACATGTTTTCTTAGGAGATCTCTAAATATTTGTCAGTAAACAGTGGATTTGTAAATAAATCACAGGCCAATCAAAGATGCCTAATAAAAATAGAAAGTATTTTGGACTTGATGAAGATAAGATTACTAGAATATATGGTATTATGTGGAGATTTCAGTGCTTATTTGGAGAGGGAGTTATTCTGAACTTTCTCCTTAAGAAAGAAACCCAGAAAATATAACATATGTAAACTTTAAAAAAATGAAGGAATGCTGGGTGGAGGTGTCACACTCCTTTAGTCCCACCACTGGGGAGGTGGAGGCAGATAGTTTTTGTGATGTGAGTTCAAGGCCAGCCTGGTCTACAAATCGAGTTCCAGGGCAGATAGGACTATTAACACTGAGAAATCAAGGCTAGAAAAACCAAAACTAAAAGAGAAAAAAACAAAACAAAACTCCCCCAAATCAAACAAACCTCCCTTCCTTAAAATGAAGGAAGAAATAATGATCCGAACACAAGTGAGAAAAAATAATTTTTAAAAATTCACAGAAAATAATTCTTTGAAAAGATAATTTTTATATTCATAGGCTGAATTAGAGGTCTATCCAGAGCAGTATGACAGGAAATTTAAAGATAACAATTGAAGACATTTTATAAAACAGATTAAGGTATTTTATCTAGCATTATGTAAGTTCACTGAAGTGTGAAGTTGAAATCCGTGGCCTTTATGCCATGTGAATTGAGCCTGAGTAACTCTGACATGTCTGTCCTTAAGTCCTGAAATAGTTGATTCCTTTTGGTGTCTTTTAGGCAAAGAACTGACTGTATCTTTCAGGGCTGGGGTTCCTTTTGGTGAATAATTTGAGCACCTGTAGGACATGGCCAGCATTCTTATGCACTGCAGTCTTGTTTGCCCCAGGATGGCCAGGAATCTTGCCTCATCTTTTGACATTTCTGTAGCAGGGTAAAGCAGTATTTTCAAAGTGTCTCTTTTTCTGCTATCATATAAAAATTAGATCACAATTCAAAACCCATGATGGCTCAGCTGGTAAAGGTGCCTGCTGTCAAACCTGATGACCTGAATCTGATTCCTGAGATCACATGATAGGAAAGAACTGCTTCCTGCAGACGCTATGATCCGACCTATGCTGTGTGCACAGAGTACCATAATAAAGTGTAAAAAAGTACCAAACATAAAGCAAACTGTCATGTATCATGCTCCCATTATTTCTCATTTATTTTCCTCCTTTTAATAATAGGGGAAAGAGTGATTCCCCCCCCCCCCCAGCAAAGTCTTTCTCTGTAGTCATGTTAAGTGGCTGTTTTTGGAGTGAGGAGTGTATCTGGATTTCTGAAGTGGATTTCACTTGGATGAGAATAATTTCAGTGCAGTATAAACATCTTGTTGATGGATTGAGTAGTGTATGGTGTGGCCTCTGGGCCATTAGTAACTAAGGTTAACCTTCATCTTTTTTTTTTTTTCCTGAAGGTGCTTGTGAGTGAGGACTCAGACAGTGATGGCATTGTGGCCCACTTCCCTGCCCACGAGAAGCCAGTATGCTGCATGGCTTTTAATACTAGTGGTAAGTTTTTGTTTTTTAACTATTTATCTCATGAGTTTCCTAGCTAATAAATTTGGAAATGTAGAATGTGTAATCAGGCGGGGGTTTGGGAAATAGCTCACCAGTTAAAAGCCCTTGCTGAGCTCATAGAGTGTTGATCACAGTCTGCTGCTAGCATCCATACAGTGACTCACCAATTGTCCCAGGGGACCTGACACACCTGAGTAGCTGCACATGTACAAACCACACAGAGAAACACATGATGCATGTGTATCATAAATAATAATAGGACCAGTGATCTTTGAAGGACTAAGTTTACAGTTCATCCCACCTCATCCCATTCAGAACGTATTTTAAATGTCTGTAAACTGATGTTTGAAATGCTGCAGTTAGGTGAGCAGCACCCCTGAAGTCACTTTAATTTTGCCTTAAAGTTATACCCCAAATATCGATATTGCAAACTAGAATCCTAATGTACCAGAGACACATGTTGTTTGTAACAGGATTTATTTTTCCACATGACATTGTACAATCTTACTTTTAGTTCTTTCTCTCTGTCCTCCGCTCCTGTTCTTCCTTTTGCCTTGTTCCTAAGGCATGTGATGATGACTAATAATAATAAAGTCATGGAATGCCCTATTACCCACTTTTCCTCTAAACTTTTTTTTTTTTTTTTTTAAGAGAATACTGACCTCTGAGCTAGAACAGTAGTTTTGTTAGGAACAATTCTCATCAAGAAAGAACCAGCCAGTTCATACTATAACAAGGTGTATTTTAAGAAATTCATATAAAGTCCCTCACAGAAGGGGGAAGGGACAAGTCCCCCAGAGCACAGGGGAAGTGGGGAGGGCAGTGAATGGAGAGAGAAGTAGGAGAAAGAGAGGGGGGAGGAGAGGAAAGCACATGCGACTAGGAAGATTGAGTCAGGGTAGGTCAGGGTAGGAATAGAAGACAGGAGAGAGAGAGAGAGACAGAGACAGAGAGAGAGAGAGAGAGAGAGAGAGAGAGAGAGAGAGAGAGAGAGAGAGAGAGAGAGAGAGAGAACAAACATAAAAAATGGGAGCCATTATTGGTTTGAAGAGAAAACTGAACCTAAAGAAAGGTCTAGAGACCTACAAGACTGCTGCCAACTAACAATATGAGCAACCGTGGAAAGGCTACCATAAATGCCCTTCCTGGATAGTGAGATCAACAACTAACTTATCCATGGAGCCCTCATCTAACACCTGTTGGAAACAGAAGCAAATACCCATACCTAAACACTGAGTTGAACTAGAATCCAGATGCAGACGGAGAGGACAAGACCAGGTTGCAGAAACACATAGAGACAGCTGACCTGAACAAGAAGGAGCTAACAGGCCCCCAGACTGATAGCTGGGAATCCAGCATGGAACTGACTCAGGCCCCCCTGAATATGGGTCTCAGCCAGAAGGACTGAGCAGTCTAAGGGACTTCAGACAGTGGAACCAAGATGTATCCCTGGTGCACAAAAGGACCTTGCGAACACATCTGCCATGGAGGGATACTACCTTAACCTAGAGACAGGAGAGAAGTACTAGTCCCTACTTCAAATGACATGTCAGATCTACATGACCCCACCTGGATGGCATTGCCCTACATGTGGAATTGGGGTAGGGGGATGGGATGGGAGGGGAGGGTGGTCAGGGTGCATGTGAGGGGGGCAGAGAGGGTAAAAGGAAGGGAGGGAGAGGGAACTGGGATCGACATGTAAAATAATAAACTAAGTAGAAAAATTAAACAAAACAACAACAACAAAAAACAAACAGAATGAATGTCGGCTTCTTGGTTTTCATTCTGTCTGGTTAATACTGACACTGGTCGGGATGAGTGAAGTCTAGAATACATGGTTTCTAAACAAAAGGTGAAACTAGTGTTTGTTTCAGAGCTGATTCTGTCTTTGTAAGTTTGTAGGCTTCAGGTCCTGTTCCTGTGGATGATGTATCTGAGAGTCTTTTATCTTATTTTTCAGAAATGATCATATCACTTAAATTGATGAGAAAGATCTGTTTTCCCCAATTTTAAAATAAAGAATGATAACAAGAAAGTCATATTGAGTACTTTTGATTAATCTCCCTCTTGATATTCTAATTAGTCATTTTTGATGAAGAGAGATTTTTTATTATAGTGGTCCATCAGTAAGGTTGATTTAATTGAGACAGACAAATAGCTATTGAAGTTCTCTGAATGTTGGGGGAATTAAGTTAAAATTGGAGACATTCTTTGAAAGTTTGTTCGCTTGTGTCCCTCTGTGTTGGGTAACCAGCATGACTCATTGTAATTCTGTCTGTTATGTACACTTTCCTTTGGATTATTGTGTATCTCACGTCACCCCTGAGCACTTATGGTTTGGGAAGCTACCTGCTCTCCTGCCAATGAAGTTGCATTGTACAAAGAACGTACTACATAGTATACAGATAACCAGTCACCTCTGTCACTGTCCACAATGAGTTTTCTGTGGTTTCATTTTGAAACCTGCATCTTACCATTTGCTTTTTGAGTTGCATATATAATACGATTTAAAAAGAAATATTTACTTTTCTGTGTTCTTAGAGCATTGTGTTTATAAGTATGATATAATTTATTTGGAGACGATCACTTGTTTAGATACTTCTTTCCTTTGTGAGCTTGTAGTTTCCTTTTGGCTAGGGATCTGTTGCCATCCAATCCATCTTTGAATGTCTGGCTGGTGCCTGGGAAGTATCTCAGTATATTGACATGCTTATGGAATAAATTATTTTTAACTTGTCCCAGCTATAGACTCCTGGCACTGCAATTTAATCTCTATTCTGAAAATAAAAGAGACTGGTCAATATTAATATTTAGGGGTTTTATTTGAGGTACTTGAGATTGTACGTGGACTGACTGGCACATGGTATTTGACCTTCCTTTGGGCTGCTTTCTAATTTATTCACCTTGATATGGTTCATGTATCTAGAGCTTCCTTATTCTGGTTGCATATTTCATAATAGTCATCTGTGAGGCTTGCTAGTATCTTGGAAATACTTCACAAAGACGCTATTGACCCAGATGAGCTGTTATTTCTGAGTCAGCGTTCGAACTGTTGAAGTACTTGTCATACCTGTGATCTTGTGCACAATATTGATGTGTGTTTTCTTATAATTTTGCTTTTATTATATCATTATCTGAATATTGAATGTTGTTGGAAATTACTACATACCGCACAGACACACAGACACACACACACACACACACACACACACACACACACACACTTTCCACAATCAATATTTATTTGTTTTGTGGTGCTGGGGATTGTAACCAGGGCTTCCAAAGTGCTAGACAAAAAACCCACCATTAAGATCAACTCTAGCTGTTTACTTTTTTCTTTTTCTTCTAAATCTGAAGTGGTTATTATGCCTTTTTAATAAATATTATTCTAATGAATTGGCCCCTAAGCTTTTCCATGTTTTGAGAAGGGCTTTTGGTCCTAAACTTTTTTAAATTGTCTGTCAAAATACTGAATTCTAATTATAGAGGTTTCATTTCAATTGAGTCTTTGGCCAATGCGTCCTTACCCTGTCCTGTCGAGACTTAGTGACAGTTTCTCTAGTAAAATCTTCAGTTAAGGTGGGGTCTTTACAAGGAACATAAAGTAAACCCAGTGCTGGTTGAAATAAAAATTAGCCTCTTTTGGAGGTGTAATAATTTGAGGGAGTCCAATCTTGACTAAAAAGATGATTAGCTAGGAAATAACTCTGTTGCTTGTGTAGCAATAAATTCTAGCTGATGAGTGAGGTGAGGAGCACAGGACAAAGGAGTTTTTTGCTTACTATAATGGGAACTTTGTTTTTGAGTGTGCGTGTCATTTTGATAGGGCTTTAGAAATGTTTTCTGTGTATACAATGTTTGATTTAGGTAATGGTTTTCTAATGAAGGCTTTCACAGTTTGAACAGTGTTGTGTTTTAGTTGGTAGGCAGAGATTTAAAAAATGTATGTGTGCGACTGTCTTTCCTGCATGTATGTTATGTGCATACAGTACCGTGGGGGCCAGAAGGCACCGGGTCCTTTAGAACTGGTGTTACAGACAGTTTGATCTCTGCAGCCCTGACAGAGGTGTGTGCAGTTGCTTACATTTCATCTGGGATCATTACTGTTTTGCTCTGGATACTTACCCTGTTCTAAGTGCTGCTATTGCTTACTGAGGAGCAAGAGGATAGAAAACACTCAGTTGTTTATGATGTGGAAATCATGCAGTTGTCAATTATTTGGAAATCTGGATTATTTTTCCAATTTTCAAGTAAGTATTAATTAGGATTAATTAGGAACTACTCAGTTTATTATAAAAGAGCCATTTGGTTAGTCATAGTAACCATAGTAGCCATAGTCAGTGCCTGTCATCAGGTGACCTCCTTCCTTCTCTCTCATATGTAACCCAGGCTGGCCTCCATCCTTAGCTTGGCTTATATTGGGAATAGGCTTATTCCCAAATTTCACTAGTGTGATTTCTGGCTTCACGGTGCTGCCTATTACTTCTTGGATTTAGGTGTGCATGTTCACACATGATGTGCTCTTGTTAGCTAAGTGCACAGATAATCTAAATAGGTATCTGTGAGTCCCTCTTCTCCATATAGTTAAAATGTTCAAGGAAGATGAAGTGCTTTTTGTTACTTTACATTTGAATTTTCCCTTACAGATACACTACTAAGCTGGATAAAAAGTGTGATGATATACAATGAGATTTTTCCCCCTCCACTGGCAGAATTATAGTGTTAGGTACTGAGTTGTATAATTTGAGTGCATCTTAATGCAATGTGTATCTTTTTGTCTTTAAATTGCCTTATTTGGTGTGTTTAATTATTTGTATTTCAATTTATTGTTTTTTTTTTAATTTGAAGTGTAGGTTATAGACCCTTTACTGAATAGACATGTTTTCCTTGACCAAAGCATGTTTCTACATTTATTTATATCAAGAAATCTTACCTGTATCAACCCTCTAATCCTGCTATTTTAAAATAACATTTCTATGGCATGTAATAGA